TGGCCAAGACTACGATGGTAGATGATGTTGACCAAGACTATGATAGATGATGTTGGCCAAGACTACGATGGTAGATGATGTTGACCAAGACTATGGTATCAAAGGCCCTGTTCCCTCACCCCCTCGCAAGCATGCGTAGTGGCAGCCTTGGGGAATACAAAGGGTARGGGGAATTCTCAACCAGTCCTCCCCAAAAAGCTGCTACACAGGCTAACCCAGGGCATGTACAACAGAACTGGTGGATGTCAATATATATAAATTGCAATTCCCACAACTTAGGTAAGAAACTTTTAAGACTTTTATTAATAACACCATGATTACAGAGAAGCAAAAATATAATCAACAGCAACATTTCTGCATATGATTATGTAAATAAAAAGACAAATCCATGAATAAGAGAGTTAACTACATTACTAATATCTGTATTGATCTAAAATCTAATCTTAAGACATCGATTAAAAAAATTCTGATATTTGGAACAAAAACACTAAGTATACATCAAGGCACATTCCCATGATTTTGTACAGACAGGAGTGGAAATAACTATTCAACTGTGTTACAATTACGATAGCAAAGCTAATGTATAATCCCACTGGTGCTACAATGCTGTAATGGGAAGTTTCTTGGCAATTGCATTTAGTGCATCAGTCTGAAAATACAGAGCACAATTAATTAACTTCTGAACTAATATAGAGTAGTAAAACGTGTTGTCACAAAAAAATTATTTTCGATCTCCTATTTCTACAGACAATCAAAAAGAACTTTTACACGCCAAATTTGATGAGAATCGGGCAAATATCAAACAAGATATGACCATTCGAATATATAATTACTCCATATGAATCACTGTATTTTCAGCTGGGTTTCAAAAATGTCTTTTCTGATTGTCTATCGAATTTGTTAACCAAAAATATGATCAAGCAAAAATTAAATTTTGTGACGTCAACACTTGAGTACTCTATACCGAACATTTCTAAGAAAATAGCTCACTTCAGGCTCACTCACTGTGGTAGCAACAACCCTCTGTTTAATTAAGTATGAGATATTGATATTTGCAGACGTCAGTAGAGTTATACCATACTTCAGATCCAATGTCACATTCCTTTGATAAATGTTTTTTTAATGGAGTCGTATCCTTAACTTCCCAACCCAACTTAATGAATGGAACATTCCGACATGGTGTTATAACTATCTGGGCCTGGCACAAAGGGTGAACAGTGGTATATGGATAAATCCTTATCCACCCACTGGATAGGAATTATCCCTCAGATAGCGCTACCCCCCCCCCCTGTACAAATGGACCCTGGAATCAATGTGTCTTTATATTTTCCCCTCAATTCTGTTCGCAGTTTCAGTGTAGCTTCTGCTTTCATTTGAGGCTAAAAGTAATGAGATCCATTTAAATTCATTGGCAAGTAGCTTACCCAAGGAATGCACATGCAAGAACGAAGATGGCCAATGGCTGGATAGCAGCAACTAAAAACAAAGTGACAATATATCAGCATTTAAATTATGCTGTTTCTCTTTTCTACGGCGAAATTAATTCTTTCGGCCAGAGTGTAAGGTACAGATAACAATAACTGTCCTCCAGCATATCACACAACAGTGGGCATTTACTGAGAGTTACTGTATGATATAAAGAACCCTCAATTATGAGACAAATGAATAAGTATTATTTATTATAATTCCACTATGAATTATATTTATCATTCTATAGAGTTTTATCTTGTATCCCTGTATATATGTTTATACAAGCCAATCCATCTTCAACACACAGCACCACAATAGTTACTAGAAAAACCAGAAAATGTCTTGGCCAATATTTTTTATGTGCATGCATGCATCCACAAATTGCATATGTTGTCAATATAGCCATGAATCACAAATAAAGTTTTAAAATTTTTCTTACCAGCAGCTTTTGGTGTGGTTGCTTTACCTATTAGATAAAAAACCATAGTACAAATAARTAAATAGCTAAGTCTAGATAAGTTTTTTTCTGTTATGACAAATGTGTAACTCTGTTATCAATGCGTAGTTCCAGAAAAAATCCATACCCCACCCGCAGAGGAAATTGGAAATTCTTGTGGGTAGGGGGGTCAGAGAATGAATAAAATTACAGAGTTTGTATACAGAAGAAAATTGGAAGTTCCTGGGGGGAAAGGGGGCTCCTTTTACAAATTTCCTCCATGGTGGGGGTATGGATATTTTCTGGTACTACACATTTTTCAAAAACCAAGAATGTCAATAAACAAAATCAACATGTCGTTAATTAATAACTATGACAAAAATTACAGTAACAATAACCAGTCATAAATGACTAACCAATTTTATATATGTTTTAGAAAAGCAAGAATTGAACATTTTGAAAGAGCGTGCACCCACCTCCAGAAGGTTTTGTCGTTGTAACAGAAACATTCCCTGTAGGTTGAGGTGCCATAGTTTTATTTTCACTTTTGGGTGCTTGAGTACTTGCCACTATGAAAAAAATTCCACGTCAGTATTAAGAAGCATGAAATAGGAATGAACAGAAATTTAAGGTGTTAAGCTTTTGTATATCTTAGATCTATAGACTGGTTTCAGCAATTCCCAGAACCTTTCAACTCAGAGGAAAAAACAATAAATTTCTTTTCTCATGACATTAAGATTGTCAGGATGCATTGGGAATATCCTGCAAGAGGTCTATTACCATCTTGCAAATTCAAACACTCTTGTGTTATTTAAAAAATTGGGTGGTTAACCAAATACTCCAGTCTTGAGTTTTCTGTTGCTCAGGGTTAGCCTCGATTTTGTGCAGAATATCCACATGTTCCAGTCAAGCTGCATAGAGATTAAAAGCGTTTGTATTGTTGAAGTTGTGCATTCCTTACTTTACCGTTGGTATTTGTGAATATGTAGACACTGATACGAGGCTAAGCCTGAGTAAATGAGTCTGTAATCAAGGAACACAGCAGTAATTTGTAAGTCAAAAAAGGTGTAGTCAAAAAAGGTGTATGATTGGCAATATCACTATAGATTTATTGTTCAAAATATTTAGGTTTGGTACTCAAGAAAATAAGTCTTTGAGAAAAGGTTCATACCTGTGCTAGTATTACTAGTAGTTGATTGACCATTAACCATCAAAACTGGAAAATAAATGAAAAACACACATCATCATTAAAACGAAATTTAAAAGGTTTAATGATTTCCAAATCTTGAAGTAAACATCTTAAAGCTATCTTTAGAGACTTGGATCACTGAGTTGGACAAAAAGGCAGGCCTGAAATGGTTCCATGACTACTGTGATTCCAGAAATGTAAAATTAACTAATTATAAAATTTGGCTGGTGAATGCTGCTTGATCCAAATGCAGCTCAGTATGATGAAGGTCTTTTGCTGAAGGATCGAAATGTCTTGACTATTTCCCCAAACCTCTTTAAAAACATTATAAAACACACTACAATTTTTAAATAATATCATGAAGACTTTAGAAACACAAATATCTTGATATTGCTGTCAGGGACTCATATGTATATGAAATATTTAGTTATTCCCTTATTTTTAATGCTTACGATCCCTTAAAAACCTGTTTTAACAAGTTACATGTTGTTTCAAGGCATATAGCTGGGAGTGAGGTAAGATGAGAGAGCTTGGTTGATGGGAGAGTCTTCCTGAGGAATTAGTTCAAAGCAATCAAGATAGTATAAACCATAGCCATAATTTGACACATACCTGCAGCAAGTACAACGAAGGTAAAAAGAATAATTTTTTCCATCTGAAAATAAATGCAGATACGAAGATTTATTTTTTATTAGAATTTTTCTGAAATAAATGCAATTGTTTTTCTCCCTATATTTCACTTAATGCTATACATTTTTTAGTTATTTTGTGACATTACAAAAATAAACTTTCCTTATTTTTTAATGCATTAAAATTATTAAAAAGCGATGTGAACATGTTCAATAAACACTAAAAATTACTAATACAAAAATTCAGAAAACACTTAATAATTGAAGACTCAAATATGACAAAATAATCCACAGGTAAATTTGAATGCTTTTGTGTTTTTTTTTTGCCGTTGCATTAAATATGAAGATATATTTTTCTTACTACGCGCCAGGAATTAATGCTTGTTTATTAGACGCGGTATTAGCATTATTCTCACTTAAAACATAGAATATATTAATTATAAAATATTAAATATATTAATTGAGAAACGAGGTACGATAGGTTTTTTTTTGGCATATCGTAAACACATTGTTTCGAAGCAGGACGCTGTAATTGTGTTTTCACACATGGTATATTTAACAGACGCACGGCCAAACAATGGGACGCTTTTTATACTAAGCGACATCCAATCGGAATCCACTTGTTGACGGTTGACTTCAAATCCGAGCCATATCGAATTGATTTCTTTGTCTGCAAGAAATATAGCTTTACGAAACGAAAACGTCGGCTTAAATAGGATTGAAATTGTATTCGAGTTTAGGATTAAAAGCAAATTGAAAACTTGCGATCCGTAAATACAGAAGCGATGCGAAAGTCGCGCTCTGTTGCTGAAATTAGTAATCCAAACTACCTCGCCAGATCTTGCCACGGCGTGCCCTGCGTCTTTAATTTTAGTCTTTAGTTTTCCTTTCACAATGTTCATTATCTCCAAGCGAAATTTGTAACAATAGCAACGTTGCAATTACAGCTTTCTCATGGGAGATAAGTTTGGCTATTGAAACAAAAATCACTTGAATTGCGAGAAAAAAATTCTAAGAGTTTTAAATAGTTGCAAATGGCGGTATGATAAGCATGAAATCGGAGAATATTGGGCGTTGTACTTAAGGACTTTGATAAGAAAGCCGTTCAAACTCTATGATTAATTCAGATATTTCTAATGATCCAAACGAAACTGCTCTCCGCGGAGCGCCAAAACTTAAGCAAATAAACCAATATGGAATACTAATGAGTAAAGCGCCAAAATTATAAGAAATTCAGGTTAAATTTTCTGAATTTTAGCCAGAAATATCTTAAAAGAGCCGTTTAGTTTGATAAATAGCCTTTGATTCATCTAGTTCTACGTGTTCCATCCTCGTGCTGAATCTTAAGAACTAATTATTCCGAGCCCGACAAATTACCAACGCTCCCTCTATTTATCGTGTGGCGTAGCAAGAAAATTTAGGATCCGCAAAGCTTTAGGACTTAAAATTGGTTTCACGTGAAGAACGTATGGGGTTAAATTCGATGAAATCCATTTTAAGTATTGTTTCGTCATAAAAGAATTACTAGTAAGCGCTTGTTGGAATAAAACTGTACCACGACATTGTGCATGTTCACAAAGCATGGAGAGGAAGAAGTGATATGGAACCTTCAAGAGCTTAACACAGATATGTTTTCGAGTTCTTCGACGGTATACGACAGAAAAAAATCACGGCTACCACATCCTTTATCTTTGACCAACAGTCAAGCGCTTGGAAGGCGAAGGCAGAGAAATAAACTCGAAGCGTTTTGGATCGTTATGTGGGTTGTGGCTCGCTCGGGCATGGCCAAAACGATTTTAAATCCCCTTGTGTCCTATTAAGTGATACGAATARGTCTTTCAATTCGTTTTAATCGAAGATTCAAATAATTGCAAGCAAGACATCCCTTTTTCTTTTCGAGTACTGCCTTTGTTGAAGACGCGGTAATGGCGGATCACTTCCAAGGTGTGTCGATTTCATAATTAAAATAACCCACTGAAATGCTATGTTTTTCTGTATAGAACGATCGGACTTTCGCACACACACATCCATCAAGTAGCTGTAGCAATAACTAAACGGTTCACTTACCTTGGGTTATAAATTTTATCCGATTCAAGGAAAAGTATTCTTGTAGCTGTTTCCAAAGGCGCACCCACACGAACTGTCTTGCAGATACAGTAAACTCAAAGAGGTCTTTGCGCGCATTCGCTGCGTGATTTGACTGGCACCTCCGCCTCGTGCTAGACACGTGATCGCATTGACGCCATTGCGTCATCCCTAAAGAATCCTGTTTTATTTGCTGTTTCCTTGACTTCTGGGAAATAACAAAGAGATTGGCAGGACGGGGAGGCTGGTGAAATCTGAGCAGGGCTTTCGGTATTTCTGGTGGGAATGGGAGGGGAAGGTTCAACGCTTATAACACCCGAGGCAACAGTGCTTCCGAATGGATAGCACTCGACATCACGTTTAATAAGTGAGGTCAGAAGGAAAACTATATATTCATAGCAATATCGCAGAGCTTTATCGGCATTCAACCGCGACAAAATGCCATTAAAGAAGATTTTCGAGTTTGTGATCGTTTCGTTTGAATTTCCTCGTCGTTTCCTGATCGATGACAGCCAGCGTCATAAGAAAATCCGAGCAAAGAAATGTAAATATATTCTGTTATTAGAAGCGAGTATTACATGTATCAGCTCGTATTCAAATTAGATTGTCTTGCCAATAGGCTTAGGCTATTACGAAGCAAAACAAAATATAAATATTTCATGTTTAAACATATCCACTTTTAATATGATTTGATTCAAAGGAGGTAGAAGGATCAAAACAAATTTTATCTAGGGTAGGGGGAGGAAAAGGCAAAATTATTCAAGAAGTGTAACATGGTATCGCTGATATCTAGCGTCTAATCTAAACTTTTTTCCATGCATAACTTTATTTTATGTTTTCATTTCTAAATATGGTCTGACGTCTAAAGCCCTTTCAGCCTGCAAGTCAAAACAGGATGTCTGTACCACAGGCAGCCAGAAGAACTAACGAATTTTTGGCAGCTTTGACTGCCCGCTGACTAATGCGAATGGCACAGACGACCGGAACTGAATGTCAAAACTGGTTTAATATCAAGATCTCAAGAAATATTGTTCTTGGTTTATTTTGTCACGCTTCTCGTTCGTGATTAACAGTATTTCGAAACTGCTTTTGTTTAGAAAACATTGAAGCAACACCATAGCGAATATTGCCTATAAAGGGAGGCTGATTATATCACGCTTGATGACGCTCACTCTGAATCAATATTTATAAATGCTCTGTGGTTGATAAAGTTTAAAAGCAATTCATTTTATTGTTACTACCACGAAATATTTCATAATATGTAAATCAAGTCCTTTTCTTTCAAGTCGAAAGTTTACAAAGAGCTTTTTGAAGTAATGGGTTGAGCCATGGTTCGTACAACTATGTACATTTCCTGCAAGTCACGACACGTTGCTTTGGTTACATTACTTTAGTTTATAGCTTTGTAAAATATCGGTGAACCTTACACAGTGGAATGTCTCTGTTCAGACATAACAGCTACCTGTTTTAAAAATATAAATTTCTGGAGTTGATGCGGAAGAGAGAGCCTCGTATGAAAAGACTATTCTAATACCTTTGAAATTCTTGGAGTGCTAAGATATTCTTGGCTTTATCTAGCGGGATATTTTTGAATCTTTTTGGCGGTACGCCCCTCGAAAGATTCAGGAAACTAGAAAGAATTTTCTTTTGGAAAAGAGTAACACCATGGTAACACGATCTCCACTTATCTATCTATCGTTCTTTCATGATCCATGCTGAGAGTTTGAAACAATTCTTGTTATTTTTGGATTAGAGAGCATCACAATTGTTAAAATTATAATCCAGAATGAGGTATTCCTACGAAAGCTTCAGCTTGAGTCGTGACGAAACGCGAACAGAATCACGAACTTAGTACCGCATTATTACGACATGAGTTGAGCAGGGATAAAGGTCGGCATTTGCCGATCACATGAGGAATGACTCATGTTCTTGTCCATCAACACTATCATTATCAGTTGTGCTGACTGGCAATCGCCAGGGCCGGGTCGTGATTAGAGAGAAATTATAGAGAAAATGCATACAAACTGAACCCAGGCTAGGTCTAGGCGATGGCTCCGACATTTCTCTCCGACATTTTCCTGTTATATGGGTGTTAAACAAGGCTGTATGCTGAGCCCTACGTTATTTAATTTATATCTTCACGATCTGCCTGACTCATTAAATTCGTGTAACAACAATGATGTAATGTTGAATGGCAAACCGATTAGTACTCTTTTATATGCAGATGACCTGGT